ACGAGATAATACGTGGCAGCACTACGAGACCGTGCCGCGCCCGTGGGTGGATGGACGCGCTTCGACGTGGCCCATGAACTGCGACACAACGTCATCGATATGCGCGTCCCACTGCACAGCCTTCTCTTCAACAAGTCGCTCTTCGGCGGACTTTTCATCGTCGTCGTCAGCGACCGACGCGAGGAGGGAATCGCTCGCTTCGCGCGATTGCATTTGGTCGACAAGCGTCGAGAGCCGATGGGAGACGTTGAAGGCGAGCTGCGTCGTATCGGTTTTGGACATGACCTTCTTGTCGCTGGCCGCATCGAGGAGCGGCGGCGACGGAGGCGGCTTGGCACTTGGCGCGGCAAAGTACGACTGCAGCATCAAATCCCGCTGGTGTAGAATCATGCCCACGACAAACTCGTGGATGTCAATGACGTTGTCAGCGCCCGCGACGCGGTTGTAGAGCGCGAGGACGTCGCGGCGGTGGCACTCGGGGTCCAAATGGTGTACGACGAGGCTGAACTCTTGGAAGTCGAGGACGCCGTTGCCGTCCTTGTCGGCGAGGCCAAACACCGCGCGCATCGTCTCGATCTGCTGACCATACAGCGTGAGCCAGTAAAACATGATTTTCTCCAGCGCCAAGTCCAAGTCGACGTCGCCGCTCGCCGTTTGGAGGCTGCTGAGCTCGTCCAGGAACGCCGGCGTGACGTGGTTGTACGCAAAGACCACGTGGACGGTCTGGACGAGCTTGTCCATTTTGAGCGTCGCGCAATTCGCACTGCCAGGTACACCGTCGCCAAACCACGCTTTGAGCTGCTTGACGTTCGCCATGGCCTTGTCGGCGTTGAGTCGGTAGTTGCCAACTAGTTTCATCGACATGGTATCCACAAACACCAGGAAACACGCACTGTTGAAGAGGACGCCGACAACGAACAAGAAGAAGTCGATGGCTTGGGCCGACGACGCAAAACTGCCGGGCTCGAGCGACCCCACGAGGAGCCCAAAGAGCCGAATGCGGCTGCTTTTCTACAGAAAAATGATGCAACCGCGAGCAGCCGACGACACGTACAGAGGCAAATCGACGCACGGCCGTGTCGAGGTGGATGAGCTGCCCCATCGCGAGCTCTTTCAGACCGTAATAGACAGTGTAGGCGTCGAGCAGCATCTGCGACAGGCCGTCGCGGTGCCGGTGCATGTTGTCGTCGGCAATGTCCTGGCACAGTTTGCTTTGGTACAGCCCCGCGATCGTCACATGCATCTCGACGAGCGAGAGCGGTCGCTTCTTTGACAAAATGCGCTTGACGCTCGAGACCGAGTAGTTGGCGTCTTGGATCATGGTGTATAGCCCTAACCTCCGATTCGAGTTGTGTCTATGTCGTCCAAAAGAGATACCAGCAAATCGCTTTTGGACTTTGGGGCCTTGGCCGACTTGGAGCCAAGTCGCGGGTGTTGCGGCCGACGTGACGATCGACCGCTCTTTCTCGGGTTGGAGCAGACTTTGGCGGAGCTCGGCTTTGTTGACCTGAGCGTTTGCGTTTGAGATTGAGATTGTGTGAACGACGGTACCTGCGTCGCGACGTCGGTTGTGCTACAGCGCCGCGCTTGGTCTTCGAGCTTGGTACACGTGTCGTGAAGCTCGCGCTTCTCGGCTTCGAGAGCCGCAATCGTCGCCTCGAGCTCGGCGCAGCGCGTGTTGGCCGAGCTCTCGATCGTCTTGTGCGCCTTGGAGCGGGTGACGTTGAGGGCGAAAATGCGGGCCTCCAGCTTCGCAACGCGGTCCTTCTCGCGTCCGAGGGCGTCGACGACGCGCCCGAGCGCTTCCATCGTCTCTCGCTACGTCCTTTTGAGTCTCCATCATCAAATCGACAAATTGTACATCGGCCAAGGGCACGTCGAGCGATGCGACGGGCGTTCCGTTCAAGACATCGAGGATCAGCGACTGGTACTTTTCGTGGAGCGCCCGCAGCCGGTCGTCGTCTTCGTGCCGCCGACGCACCTCTTCGATCGCGGCTTCGGCCTCGGCTTTTCTGCACATTTTGATTTAGCGTCGGATGAGACAGAGACAAGACGCACGCGCGCAAGTCCTGGGCGTGTTCCTGGAAGAGCTGGTCGATGAGCTGCTGACGCGCATGCGGCGGGAGGTTGTCGATCATCATGAGCAGCGCGTCCGTGTGAATATCCGACCCGAGGTGCTCGACGAGCCCCACAATCAACTAGCCTCCTTCGTGACAACCGAGCAGCAAAATGGCGAGCCTACTTGGAGCTGGTCGTTCTTCTCGAGGCCTTGGAACGTGTTGACAACGAGCCCGACGTGTTCGTGGGTCACCGCGTCCGAGAGGGCGTGGGGGCGACCATATGCACTCACAACCGAGGTCCGCTGCCGCAAAAGCTGGTTCTGCGTCTCCAGCTGCGCAAGTTGTTGCTGCAGCCGAATGATCGTGGCTTCCGTCTCGACGTTGCCTAGGCCGACCTCAGAGCGCATCACACGATACAAGAACGGACTCTGCTTGAGCTCTTGGTTTTGCGCTTGGAGCGTCCGGCACTGCTCAAAGTACGTCACGCCGGCTTGGTAGCACTCGAGCGCTGTGAGCGGGTTGCCGCGACGCAAGCCGGAAAACTGCGTGTAGATCGCCGCGCCGAGGTTCCTACACTACGTGAAACAAGCGCCGTTGGCCGTCGACGCTACATACAGGCAGATGGTGTCGAGGACGCTTTGGTAGCGGCCAAAGATCGACGAGGCTTGCTGGAGGCAGTAGAACGCAACCGCGGTGCGCAACCGGTTGGGCACGTCCTTCCCGGACGCGAGCACCGCCGTCTGCTGAAACTTCATTTCGCAAAAGAGAAAGTACGAGGTAAAGTGCTGCGCTTCGGCCTCCAAGCTCTTGAGCCAACCTTCCACTTGGTCCAGATCTGTGGGCTTGACCTACTCGTACTGCTAGCGCCGCGTTCCACGACGCGTACATACCGGTGGGTGGGGCTCGTGGGCCAGGTGCGACACCACCGACGCCGGCGAGACGGACGACAAGGGCGTGAAGGGCCGGCCCAACGGGTACCAAGGGTCGCCGATGGCCGCGCTACGCGGACGCTCACCATCCTCCTCCACTCTATCAGGATTGGTTGTACGTGGCGTGGCTCTTCTTGCCAATGTGCTTGAGGCGCTTCCCAGGACTAAGAAACGAGTTTAAAATGTTGCTGCGAGCGTATAGCAGCGTGTACCCTTTGGTGGGCGACTGCTGGAGCCCGTGGAACGGGTACGTCTTGTACGGCCGCACCTCGGACGTGCTCGTGAGCATGTCGGGGTCCCGCACGACAGCGATCTTTTGCCGCGGCGAGAGACTCCCGGGCGCGCTGTGCATCGCGACTTGAAGTATTTATAGCGTCCTGTCTCGAACGTTCGAGTTCCCGCCAAAAATTGACCAGCGAACACTGTCAAAGCTACAGTACGTCCCGCCACGGCTGCGTCATCGACGCACTTGGCCTGCGTGCGTGCGTGCGAGGTCGTCAGTGACATGGCGTGCGACCTTCTAGCGTGGTTGGTGTATAAAAATCACATACAAATGCAAGCTCATCAATCGAGGGCTTGACGAGGCCGGCACGACGCTTCTCTTGGGCGCGAAACCTTGTCGCTGCCTCGTCAGCACAGAGAGAAGTCCACACCCCACTCGGATGTAAATTTTGGTGCTACGACCAACCCGCTTTGCCATCAACCGAATTAACCTCGCATGCGACTGTTACTACAAGCTTGTAATAGTCGTCTCTCTACCGGCCAAAGACAAGCTGTCAAGGATCCCACTCAAATCCATTGGGTACGTCGTGCCACGTAGGCGCTAGTTCCACCCAACTTTTTCGCGCTGCGCGGGACGAGGCGCAGCCGATGGCGTGCTTTCAGCCGCACATATCGCAGGACATCTCCGCTGGCGCTGGCCACCCCGCGGCCGGGGATGGGAACGCATACAAAGATTAGCATGTTGCGTCCGACTAGCCTTGCCGTCGCGAGTCGCCTCGGCGGTTGCGGCGCGTCATGGACGCGACTCGCGAGGGTTTTATGGACGGCTCGTGTCACAATCAAAGTTCACGCCGTGTGACAAATAAAAAGTCGGATCTCGTTATTCTCCCTCAATATCAGTCGCCTTGCAAGGGCGCCACCATCTTGCTGCGTGGGATATACCGGGTGCTTCTTCACATACAAAGGCTCGAATACTACAAATGTGGGAAGAGCAGCAGGCTACTGCTGATCTGAGGGAGTTGCTCAGAACTCCGAAACGGGTTAAAAGAGTAGCTTGGCGGCTGGAATTGTTGAAGTTGGGCTTTTCCATCACGTTTGTCCCGTAAACGGGATTTGCCCCTGGGTTTTTCGATCCGCAAGGTTTTCCACCAGGTTGATAATGGACCAGTGGATTGCCGTATCTTTCTTTATCAAGGCCGCGCTGCAAGGGTCGCAGAAGGCAACTCGCGCTACGAAAGGACTGGGTTCGTCTTGCCACAGCTGTCTGAGAGAGACCGACTCAACTTCACTCTCACACCGCGCTCATCTTCGCCGCTGGAACGCTGCAAGGACGCCTCGTCCCTGTCCACGGATGCCTTCTTTTCACGCATAAGAAAACGTTTGGCAAGGCGCATCTACCTACGGCGCCTCATATGCACTAGCATGAGCGCTCCTTGAGCTTGAGTCCCGAGCGTGAGACGGCGGTTTGCATCCAAGGTAGGCCCATGTGACTGGCCACGCCGCATAAACAGGCGGTCGTTTCAAGAGCCATCAATTGATCTTTCTGGGTTAAACCCAGTTTGTCCCGACGGCGCGGTTAATCCTGGCCCTACGGTACGCAGGCCGAGTAGCGGACCAGGCGAGGTCACATCGTCATTGCGCCCGGGGCCATCCAACGCTTCCTGCCGCTTCTTTACCCGCCGCCGGCCGCGCCTCCATCTCCATCTCCATACTCGCCCTTGCCTCATCGAGATGAACATGCAGCTTCCGCCCTACCTCCGCGAGGACGACGACACGCTCGAGACGCTGCACGTGCGCAACGAAGTGCTGCACGCCAAGGTCATGGCGCTCACCAAGCAGGTGAGCCAAGCCCACTACGAGCTGCGCATCGAGAAGGTGCTGCACCGCGAGACGAAGGGCAAGCTCAAGTCGGCCGAGGCCGCCCTCGAGGCCCAAGTCCGCCAGGTGTTTGCGCTCGAAGCCGCGCTCGAAGAGCACATTGAGGCGCAGCTCGACACGCTCGCCGGCCCGCTCAACGACATTGAAGAGATCCACCGCGAAGAGCTCGAGATGCTCCAGGACGACGTCGACATGTACATGGAGCGCTGCGCGTCGTACGAAGAGACGATCGCCAAGCTCCGGACGGCGCTCGAAGACAACGCGCTCGGCCAAACGAACGACTGGATCCTCCGCCAGCAAAGCCGCGCCAGCTACTACCTCGACGAAGAGAACAACGACTGCTCGGACGTCGAGAGCAACTACGACGACGACCTCGACGCCGACGGCGACGAAGAGTGCGACGACTCGGACGACGAGTCCGAGTCCGAGTCCGAAGCCAGTTCGGACGACGAAATTTTCGCATGGAAGAGCGTCGACCTTCGCGGCAGCTGCTCGGAAGATACGGCGTCCTTGGACTCGGACTACGAGCTCGAGCAAGCGCGACTGGCGCAGCTGTGCGCGATCGTGACCAAGTCGGTCAACTACGAGACCGAGTACCTCGCGGTCGTCGACCAGATCGAGGCCAAGCTCGAGGAAGAGAGCCTCGCGCATGAGCAGCAAGAGATGGCGGCGGCGCCCAAGACGCTCACTGCGTCGCCCACGGTTGTGCGCAAGACGGTGCGCGAGCCCAAAGACTGGCTGGACGACCTCCTCTTCGAGGTCGCGCAGCTCAACTACGCCCGCTAGTGTGCCTTTTCTGTATATTTTGCCCGACTATTTAATAACACCCAACCCTACATATCTATGCCGGTGGGAGGAAGAGCCGAATTCCGCACTGGACAGTACACCGTACACGCCGAGCTGAAGACAACTGCGCAGTAGCTAATCGAACGCTGGCGCCAGCCTCGACAGGCTCAGGCTCGCACTGGGGCGATAGTTGAGCCATCATCGCTTCGGAGGAGCATCTGTCCGGTACTGTAGTGGTGGCTGCCATTGAGCTCGAGAGGCGGCTAGCGCCAGGCAGCTCTCCACGTCAGTTGCTCGACAGGCACGTTGTACGCCAGGTAGGGCTCGGGCAACGCGCTGGCCGCGACATGATCGTGAAGCGCGTGGTGGGATCGGCGTCGCCACGGTCTCCCACGGCGCACGGAGGATGGAGCCGACTTCCTCGACGAGCTCATACGCCCCGAGAGACACGCATGCCCCATGCTGAGCAAGACCTACTCGCGCACGGGCTCATCTCACTTCCACTGGCGTGCAATCGAGGCGCTCGAAGGCGACTGGGCCGACTGGGCGTGCACCATGTCGCGACCTGCGTGGGCGGTCATCCTTGTGCTCGGCTTCTTTTGCCAACGACCATCCTGGCGCGCGACGCCATCTCAGTGCGATGCATCCTGGAGCGCAATGCCATGCTAATGGCGGTGTGACGTCATCTTGATGCAGAGTTAATGCAGCTACGACGACGGCGCCTACGGTACCGTCGGCTTGGTCGACGACGCGGCCTGCTTGGCGTCGTCCTTGAGGTCGGCTTCCGACTCCTTGTATTTGATCTTGTTGCTCACGAGGTCGTGCAACGCGATCGTGCAGCGGATGAGCGCCGAGAGGTAGAGCACCTACGCCATTCCGTGAGCTAAAGAACGACGAAGAGACTGCGTCGTCGTACCAAGTACATGTCGTTCGTCTTGACAAACATGGCGCGGACGAGCTCCTCGACGTTGAGGTTCGGAAGGAGGTTGAAGATGGTCTGCATGTTGTACACAATCTGGTGGTTCACTGGGAGCTTCCCGTCGAGGACGTTCTGGAGGTACAGGCGCATCTCTTCGACGCGCTCCTTGAGGCCGTTGAGCGCGGTCATCTTGTGCTTGACCTGGCCCGCGAGCGAGCTCACGCTCGGGTCGTTGATGTCGCGGAGGAGGTGCTCGACACCAACCTCTTCGGCCTCGTACGCGCCGATCGTCGACTTGATGTGCTTGAAGGTACGCTTGATGGCTTTGCCGTCTTCCTCGACTTCCTCGATCGAGCCATACGCAGTTGTGGGCAGGCCCTCAACGTTCGGGCGCACGTCGCAGATGACCAAGACCGGGTTGGCACAGTAGCGGCGGAAGAGCTCGTCGAGCGCGAGGTCGGCGGCGCGGATCTTGGGGCCGGTCGAGTAAAAGCCAACGATGCGCTCGTTGGCGCTGATCTTCTTGAACATGGCGAACATGTTCTCGAGGAAGTCGTGGTCGAGGTACCAGATCGTCGGGTGGCGGAGGTCCTCGTCGAAGGGCACGGCGAACGAGTTGGTCACGTCGCACTTGCCCTTGGAGACGCTACCGAGGAGGACGCCGACGACGCGCTTGGACGTGTCCTTGGCCACGCGGTTGTAGTGGTCCACGATCGAGAGCAGCACGAGCGGGTGGGTCACGACCTCGGTCGGGAGGCCCGGCACGTACGCGATGTCCGACATCTTCTTGTTTGCGGTCCAGGATCTGGCAATTTCGCCCAAGGCCATTGGCCAAAAAGGCGTGCGCATCCAGCCTATTTGGACGAATCACCGCGATGTTCTTCTATCGCGGGATCTTGGCCTTGTTGCATGCAGCCACGACAAGGTGAGCGCCGACAGCATGTCAGCAGTCCCGACTACATTGTATACTCACGACCAAGTAGCTCGTATCAGCCCTCCTTCGCTCCATTCAGCGAGGAGTGAACTTGGAGTACAATGATGCCCCATGTTCTTGTATCGAATTTTACAACACTATATGCCACCATACACTATAAAGGAAGCCTACCCGCCCAGAGTAACTTGGAATCGGTTTCGAGGATGAAGCGGCTGACGCGGAAGGGCTCGGCGCTCAACCCGGCGGTGGCCGCGCCGGTCGTCCGCATCCACGAGATCGACTCGATCTCCGAGTACGAGTCCGAGTTCCACCACGCCTTCATGAAGAGCCGCCTCGAGACGGACGAGTTCCTGTATGCGGACAAGCGCAACCTGCTGCGGTACCGACCCTCTCTCGCCGCAGCTTATGTGACCTTTTCGCCGGCGTAGAGAGCTCGACGAGTTCTGCGACGTCGATGGCATGCATCTGCCCAAGGGCCCGCTCATCGTCTTTGGCGCGCCCGGCAGCGGCAAGTCGGCCTACCTGGTAAACTCCATATCTCGCTCGATCTCATCGCCGTCAGGCCAACTGGGTCCACCGCCGCAAGAAGAAGTTCCAGAACTGGAACAACGGACTGCCCGAGTTCATCTTTTACCACGCGGTCGCCTGCACGCGCCAAGGCGCGTTCGTCTCCAAGCTCCTCGAGCGCATTCTGACCGAGCTCAAGGAGTATTTCGAGCTGCCCAAGGAGGTCCCGACGCTCGAGGAGCGCCTGAGCTGGCAGTTCCCGCGCTACCTCGACGCAGCATCCCGCAAAGGCCGCATCATCCTTATCGTCGACGGCGTCCACCGCCTCCGGACGAGCGACGGCGACTCGATTCTCAAGTGGCTTCCGCTCTGTACATTTGCTAGTTCCATATCGACATGGAGATGTATGGGTCTCTGGATGCGTAGCGTTCCCGTCCAACGTGCGGCTCGTGCTCGCAGCTACGAGCGTGCCAAGTGGCAGCACGCCCGAAGTCAACGGCCCCGACCTCCCCACCATGGAGCGCATCAAAGTACGCCGACCCGCTTTCTCTGATTGGCTACATCCACTTGATAGATTGAAGCTGTGCGCCGCAATTGGCATACGGTGCACTTGAGTCCGCTCAGCGACGACGAGAAGCGTCTGATCGTCGCCAAGTTTCTCCAGCGGCAGAACCAGTACTCGCCGACGCCGGGCCTCCAGCTCTTTGAGCTCCAAGTCAAGGTCGAGACTGCGACGGCTCTTGTTGCTCATACAAGAAGTTAGGCCATTGTGAGCATTGAGCGAACGACCAACCCAAAGTTCCTTCGCGTGCTCCTCGTCGCGTTGGCGTGGGCGGCCAAGCAAGGCTTCAACATGTACTTCCTGCTACGGTCTCTTCCCCCACAAGCGTTCTGCGTACCTAGTCACGTCGTCTTCAAGGAGTGGGTCTCGGCCATGAGCAACGGCAACCTGTACGAGAGCATTTTGCGCTCCATGGAGGTCGGGTATACGCCCAGCCACCACGACACGGCGGACGCGATGCAGTTCCTCGGCGAGCACGCGCTCGACACGACCTTCTTTCCTGCGGTTCGTCTCGAGCCATGGCAGATATAAGAACGTAGCGTAGCCGCCCACGTCGCCGACCAAGTACAGCGCCGCCCACGCAACGAGTGAGCACCACCAAGTGCCAGGCCCAGGCAACAACGTCGAGTACGACTCGGTACCACCAGTGTTGATCGCCATTGTCGCGTCAAAGTAGTTGTAGGACGACGATGAGATGGGCACGCCCCGTCACTACGATGAGGACGCGCAGGACGTCAGTCTTATTTTCAAAGAGCTCTCGGACGACGCCAAGGACGACACTGCGGACATGGACGACGACGACAAGACGCTGGACGCCCCCCGCGAGATTCTCACGTCGGTTCTCAGCACCGTGTCGTGCCAGCCGTCGACAGACGGAGACGGTGCGTCGTCGATCGATTACGACCTGCGCCTCAGGCTTGTGTAGAGCTGCGGGACGTGGCGCCCAAACCCGATACACCCGTCCACCCCAAGACGCCTCTCGCGAGCCAGCGCTCGATGCGGGCGGCGCCCCGCCTCGCCCCCGTGTACCCCGTCTACGTCACGGGCGGGCGCGACGTGCTTGGTCTCCGCGGTCTCCTCGGAAAGGCGCTCTGCGTCTTGTACGTAGCGCGCCACGGGCTCCTCGTGAACGAGCTCAAGAGCCTCGTCAACGCCATGGCGATCGCGGAGAAGGAGCACATCCACGGACTGCCAGACGAGAATGACGACACCCGCGACCTCGACAGTCTGTTGAAAGAGAGTATCCCCAAACTACTCCCACCGAAGCTCGCGTTCCAAGAAAGCACGTGGAGCACGCTCCTCTCCGCGCTCCGGACGCTCGGGTTCCTCTTCCTCCAGGACATTGTGCTTTTCCCCATGTGCTACGACTCGCTGCGGGACCTCGTCTACTGGCGCTACATCGGGTCGCCCAAAGCCGAGATGGCGTACCACAACTGGCTCGTGCGCTTCTTCATTTGCCACCCGCCGACCTTTCGCCGCGTCGAGGTACTATTGCGATCGACTGGCACATCGACCTTTGCATTAGGAGCTGCCGTGGCATCTGACGTTCTGCAAGCGCTGGTTCGCGCTCAAGGAAGTGCTCGTCAACTTGCCAATGTTCCAGCTCCTCTTCACCGCCAACTACAAGACCGAGCTCTTTTCGTATTGGAAAACACTGAGCGAAGGGTCGGCTAGAAACCTTGAGCTATCTCGGACTTATTCGCATACTTTAGGTCGGCCGTCGGCGGCTCAGTGGCGCCTTCGTCGAGTGATACTGTGGACAATGGCGACGACCAGCGCAAGCACCACCCCGTGACGTTTGACGTCGTGCGCGAATACAACAAGTCGCTCGACGACTGGTACCACTGCGCGCGGCCGACGACCAAGCAGCTGCTGCCCGTGCTGCAGACGGTACGAACGCTCCTCGTATGCCAGTTCTTATTTGCCGATTGGGCTAGATGACGAGGTTCCTCTTCGAGTACTCGGTGTTTAGTCAGATGGAGCTCCCGACGTTCAACCACCCCATCTTTGATCTGAAAGAACTCACGGCCAACGGCTTCCACTTTGTGCCGCAGGTATACTCTCACACGCGAAATGTACTATACTATCGTATCTAGTTGCCGCATGTTCTCGTGCAGCAGTCGCTCGAACCAAACCCGTTTTACCTCTACCACCGCTGGATCTGGATCCAGGTGCGTGCGTTCTGGGACATATGGCGCGTACCAGATTGGGAAATCTAGTTTCCGTGGCTCGCGCTCGGGTACGAGATTGACGAAGCAGACAACAAGAGCTCGCCCGGCGCGATCACTGCGTCCATATCCATTGACCCGAGCCACTTGGCTGACGAATCGATCGAACTCTCGCCGGCCTTGGGTACAGGATGCGCAGAATTTTGTTGTTGAAACTTGGGAGTAGGCGCCGCGTCGCCCGCGTCATTGGTGCCAGCGTCGGCTTTAGCGCCCTCTGCGTCGGCGGCGGCGCTTGCACCAACCAACCCCGTGAAGCGCACGTCGTCGATGCCCAACATCAACAAGCACCCCCGACGGGTACACTTGACCTATCTCGACACGGCTTGTCACGGTCGTAGCCAACGGCCGTGAGCATCAGCCCGTTCAAGCTCAAGGCGATAGCGAACGCCAGCTTGCCAACGATCCCAGTGTCGAACGCGCCAGCGACGTTGGTACGATGATCGAGCTATGAAAAATCGTCAAAAATGCTAGGATATCATCGGTCCCAACTCGCCGACGCACCTTCTGATGAAGCGCAAGACGTCGTTCATGGGCTTCAAGAACGCACCGACAGCGTCCTTTACCGTCCAGCTCGAAAACACCATTTTAGAAGAGTCGGGCTTGGGTTCGAGCCTCGGTCGATCGCTCTCGCAGCGGTCGCCGGCCGCGACCAACGCTGTGCGGGACGTCGACTTTTTCGCCGACCAAATGGTGGGCGAAGGGTTTGGGTTGCAGGTACCTTTAGGTCTATTGCTATAGATGTATGAATATTGGTGTAGGCCCACGTCCAAGACTACCCCAAGACCGAGTACGACGTCAAGAAATCGTGCAACCAGCAAGTGCTGCTCAAGCTGCAGCAGTGCCACAACTACCTCAAGCGCGAGGCGACCGCGAAAAACACGCGCTTGGAGAAGCTCCGGCAGACGATTCGAGATCGCAAGCACAAGCACAGCGCGTCGCTCCAGTACATCCACGAAGCCGAAGACGCGCTGCGCGAGATGACGCGGCGCATGGACCAAGTCGACGCCACCGTACCGCAGTGTACCAGTCGTTTGGGTATTGAGCGTTGTAATAGATGAAGGTGGTGGCCAAGCAAGAAAAGACCTATGTCAAATTGCTCAAGTCGTGCGAAGTGTACCCGGCGTCCGACCCGCACCACCTCTCCAAGTCCAAGAAGGAAGCCAAGCTCCTGCAAATGACTCTGCGCGTACGCGGAGGCGGCTCGATGCAAACGCAACACTTTGGTTTAGGATCTCAACAAGGAGCTCGAGGCGCTCAGGTTCCAGCAGCACCACGTGAGCACGAACGAGCTGCCGCGACTCAAAATCGAGTGCGCCAAGAACCGGCGGCTCCACGAAGCCGTGCTCGACCGCCTCGAGAAGACGCGCGACCGCATGGAGCTCGATCAGGCCAAGATCGACGACCTCTACCAGACGCGGCTGGGCATCATCGAGAAGGTCAAGGCGCACGCGCTCCAGATCAAATCGGCCGAGACGATCGAGCTCGAGAAGAAGCTGCACGTGCAAGTGACGGCGGAAACCACAGTACCATTTCCACGAAGTGGGAGCGGGCGGTGACGGCGCTGCGTAGGCGTACAACAAGGCGTCGATCGCCAAGGTCGCGCTCAACCAGTGCCAGTCCATGTGCCGCCGAATCATTGCGGCCACCGGCCTCTCGGACATGAGTGCGATCCACGACAAGTTCAACAACCGCGAAGCGCTCAACAAGAGCCTCGACGAACAGGTAGGCGAGGTGTGTATCAACTTTGTATCAAGTTTGCATCTAGGCCCAGCTCTACGAAGCGCGCTTGAAACAGATCAAGATGAGTCAGAGCGAGCTCGAGGCGCAGGTCAAGGGCCTCGAGCATATTCACAAAGAGTGTGCGGACCCGCGCGTGCTCGAAGACGACGCGCGCGAGGCCGAGTCGTCGCTCCTGCGCGTGCAGCGCACGTACGGCGCTATGTTTCCTAACATAAAATAGTGATTTGCGACTAGGTACTCGAGCCAGCTGCACGCGCTCAACGAGATCGTCTCGGGCCTCGCCAACATTGCCCGGCTCGCCGGCATTACGCGCGTGACCGCGCCCAAGCAAGGCCTCGTGCCTGCGCGGGATCTGTGGCCGCCGTACCAAGACAAGGCAGGAGCTCTACCTCGCACCTGATCTCATGGCAGTGCTAGGACACGCGCGCGGTGACGCTGTCGCAGTTCGAGTCAGTGTCCCCGGAAGCGCTGTGCGAGATCATTCGCGTATGCGAAGAGCGCATGATGGCGGTCATCGACAAGGTGCACTTCAGATCGTAGTGGTCGGCTCATCCTCTGCGTAGAACGAGCACGGCCGCGGCGACCCGGACGTCCTCTACGGGGTACGAGCAGCTATCTCGTCGTCCATATGTATCGATGCCAATAGAACAAGGGCAGCGTGGCCGCCGAGTTGAACAGCAAACCGAGCTTGACACCGCGCGGCAGCACGAGCAGCAGCCAGAAGAAGCGCAAGCCGGACCTCCGACTGCTCAAGGCCATGTCCAAGCGCAGTCCCGACATGGACGACTTGGGCGGCGACGTGGTCGAAGCCGACGACTGCGAGAGCCCGCGCCCGCTGACGCAGAGCTCGCTCGACGTTTACAGTCCGCGGGCGCACGTGTCGCTGGACCGTGACGACGAGTCCGGTCCTGGTAGCGTCATCACTCGCGAGACGATCAAGACCGCCTCCAAGCACAAGCTGGCGGTGAAGCGCAAGGAAACGATGGGCAAGAGCATGGCGGCGCTACTGCACCACGAGGACACGAGCAGCTCGCTGCCATAAGAGTAATAACATAATAAAGAGTTAGACTAGCGGGGGAATGTTGTGGTTGAGGTGGAACACATTGGTCGGGTCGTACTCGGTCTTGGTCTGCTGCAGAAAGTGGCCCGTGACGTCGTCGTAGACTGCGGTCGTGAGCGTCGCGTGGCGGAAGCTGCTGTCGAAGAAGACGTGCGGCGCTTGGGCGGCGCCGAGGTCGACCTCTTGCAGCGCAGCCTTGAGGTCGTGCACCCACTGCTTGTGCTTGGTGACTTGGTACAAGGACATGTCGGGCGTCGTGGCTTGGATAAGGATCCACCAGCCGTTCTCGCGGTGGCCGAGCGCGTGCGGGCGGCCGAGGACGCCGTCCGGAATCTGCGCGCCCCAGGCCGTCGCCAGCACAACCGACTCGCGGCCCGGGTGCTTTTGGCGCGTAAAACTCAGGAGGACGTCAATGACGCTGTCGCCGAGGTCCTTGACAAAGCACGACGCGGTCATCGTGTACCCGCGCTTCGTGTGCGGCTCGAGGATCGCTTGCAGCCCCAAGTGGTAGTCGTACTCGTGCACGTCGGTGTGCAGCGTGGCCCAGTGGCCGCCGCGCCGCCTCAAATTGGACGTCACCCAAGACGCGTCTGGGACAACGTCGGGCGCGCCGATGGCCGTCGTCACCTCGTGCAGCGCCGGGTGGCCGCACGGGAAGAGGAGCATGCCGCTCGCGTACGCTGGCGCCGAGTCCATGCGATCCCGAAAGGACTTTGCTGACTTCTTTGCCGACGCGATCGTCGGGCAGACGCGCATCGGCATCGAGTAGAAGCAGTGGTCGACCCGGTGGAGCGCGAAGCGGAAGCGCGTCACGACGCCAAAGTTGCCGGCGCCACCCCGGAGCGCGCGCATGAGCTGCGAGTGCTCGTTGCTGTCGCTGGCGGTGACAATGTCGCCATTCGCCAAGACGACGTCGGCCTCGAGCCAGTGGTCGGCCGCGAGTCCGTGCTGGCGCGAGAGCCAGCCCCAGCCGCCGGTCTGCGCAAAGCCGCCGACGCCCGTGTCCGGGTTGGTCGCCGCGATGAAGCCGAGGCCTGTGTCGTGCAGCTCGCGGTCGATCAAGCCCATTTTGGCGCCGCCCATGACGTCGATCCAGCGCTCGGCCAAGTTGACCTTGACGTCCGAGAGGTAGTGCAAGTCGATCACGACCGCGTTGTCGGGGAACCCGAGTGGCGAGTGCTTCCCGCCGGCGACCGCAATGTCGAGCTTGAGGTGGCCAATGGCTTTGAGGATTTCGGCAATGTCGCCGGCGTGGAGCGGCAGGAAGATCGCAAACGGGTAGCCGCAGTCGTTGAAGGCAAAGGCCGACGACCGGATGCGCTGGTACTCTTCGCTCATGCTCGCCAAGATGAGGCGGCCGTCGATCGGGATACCTTGGAGCAGCGCGCCGTATTTCTCCACTAGAAGGAGCGCGGCGCGGGTGCGGGCGAGGTCGCGCCCGGCGAGCGCGGCCTCGGTCGGCTTGGCAAAGATGGTGCCCATGGACGGACGAAGTAGAAATGAAGCAGTCGACGTCAAGCTGTTGCTTCGGGTGCGCAGCTGCGTTGCCCTCCCGAGTACACAGTACGTGTCGACACCGACTGCCGAATCGTTGAACCGGCGGCAAGCACGGAGGCTGCCCGTAGATCCTGCCGCGTCGGTGCCAACTACGTCTTTGTCTCGTTGGCTCGTTGGTGCGTCAGAGCCTTGGTGGCGCCTGTATGCACGACGATCGCGATGCTCGTGTGATGACGGGCTGTCGACCGGACCGGGCGCCGGAGGAGGGAATCACCATTACGAGGCGAGGCGCCGCTTGTTACGCCGGGGGTGGCGGTGTATATACCTTTCTGCAGAAACAGGGCTATGGCATGGAGCTACGATAGAGGCCACGACGACGGCAAGCGCGCCGACGCTGGCAGAGCTCAAGATGCCCGGTACTGTAATACAGTGCAGAGATTTGCACCCTCTATGTCTCGGCCGTGGCGAATATTTTACGCTGGACGAGCCACCAACGTCAACAAGTGGCTCTCGGTGCTTTCTGTGTTGACGGCAGCGGGGTCTATGGCCACTCCATCAAGCTGTCTCGGTCGCCCAGAGACGACGACCATAACGAGTACTAGTACCATTCTACTGCAGCGACTTGGAGGCGAACGGAGATGGCTCTGATTTGACCCATCACGCTCCCGTGGAAATGAATTACACATGCCAATGTCGCTGCTCTCGATCCGTGGACGCCGCTAGTCTAGGCCGATGGGCACGGCAGTCACCAGCGCACTCTTGCGGCGGCGCTTGTCTGGTGTGTCAGGGACACTGTCCATCGCGACGAGCTTGCTGTACGGTCCTGCTGCGCGTCGCTAGCGCCGCTGTTTCTGGGGTACCCGACGTACCACCTACGGTATCGACGGCGAGTATCCCGGGTTCCGAAAGGTAATGCGTGGTTGGAACTTGGGGTCGGCGCATATCACTCGCCCCTGCGCAACGTGCCTTTACTGCACAGCCAAGCACTTGAACTTGCTTTGAGTTTCACGCGCGATTACACGCTGCTGCGAAAACAGACGGTAAAGAATGAGCGGTCACAAGCTCCCAATCGGACCCGATGATTCAACGTCCTTGCGTTCGCGTCGAGTTATGACGAATAGCCTAGTAGCCTGTGATTAGCAGGATCCCCGTTCAATCAGGTTCTCGTAGACGCGTCTTCCCACCTCGATCCCCTACGGCTTGGGATTTACGAAATATTGCGAATTCAAATCGCTAGCGAACGCGTCGCCAGCATCCTTCAGTCCACCGCGACGCCTGTCGACTAGACAAGGCGACGTCTCGGCATAGAACTGGCAGCGGTCACTGACCGATGCAATCAGCACAACACAAGCTGTACAACGCGCGACAGAGGCATATGACCCACTGCTGCGAACGTGCGCGGAGCGTGATTCCGCAACAACAAGGTCGTCCCTTATCACGGTGCCACCGTTGCGCGCTCTCTCGAGCATGTCGCAGGACGCACTGTGGCGCCAAATATTGTAGTTTTTTTAAGTTATCGAGACGGTACGACAGATAGTATAGGCTTAGACGAGCGGACGGGTATAGGCTTAGACGAGCGGACGGATGTTGTGGTTCATATGAAAGAGGTTCTTGCGGTCGTACTCGGTCTTGACTTGGCGCAGAAACAAATGCGTCACGTCGTCGAACGCGCGCGTCTTGGCGGTCGCGTTGCGCGTGATCGCGTCAAAGCTCACGTGCGGCGCCTGCATCGCGCTGTTGTCGACGTCCTGGAGCGCCACCTTGACAGCGAGAACCCACTGCTTGTGCTTGGTGACTTGGTACCACGACATGTCGGGCAGCACTGCGTGGACGACGATCCACCACCCGTTCTCGCGGTGGCTCATCGCGTGCGGCCGCTTCTCGATTGGGATTTGGCCGCCCCACGCCGCAGCCGCGATCAAAGAGCGCGCGCCGGGGTACTGCACGCGCGTGTAGCGCACGAGAACGCTAATGACGGCGTCGCTGAGGTCCTTGACAAAGTAGCTCGTCGTCATCGTGTGCCCGCGCTGCGTGAGCGGCTCGAGCACCGCCTGGAGGCCGAGGTGGTAGCCGCCGTCGTGGCGCGACGACCGCAGCGTCGCCCACTGCCCGCCGTCCAGGTGCCGCATGCCGTCGATCCAGGTCGTGTCGGGAACGGTGTCGGCATCGCCAATCGCAGTGACGACCTGGGACACCAGCGGCTTGCCGCAGTGGAGGATAAGCATCCCGCTCGCGTACGTCGGGGCTGCGTCCATGCGGTCGCGGAACGCTTTCGCGGTCTTCTTCGCCGACACGATGGTCGGGCAGACACGCAGCGGCGTACTGTAGTGGCACCGGTCGATGCGATGGAGCGCGAAGCGGAAGCGCGTCACGATGCCAAAGTTGCCGGCGCCGCCACGGAGCGCGCGCATGAGTTGGGAGTGCTCGTTGCTGTCGCTGGCGGTGACAACGTCGCCATTCGCCAAGACAACGTCGGCCTCGAGCCAGTGGTCGGCCGCGAGCCCGTGCTGGCGCGAGAGCCAGCCCCAGCCGCCGGTCTGCGCAAAACCACCGACGCCCGTGTCCGGGTGGGTGCCGCCGACAAAGGCGAGGCCCGACCCGCGCAGCTCGGCATCCGCTGCACCCATGCGCGCGCCGCCGCCAATGTCAATGTACTTGTCCTCGGCGTTGACGCGGATGTCGGAGAGGTAATGCAAGTCGATGACGACACTGTTGTCCGGAAGGCACAGCGCCGAGTGCTTCCCGCCGGCGACCGCAATGTGCAATTTGAGGTGCCCGACCGCTTGGACAAAAAGGGCAATGTCGCGCGCGTGGAGCGGCCGGAAGATCGCAAACGGGTAGCCGCAGTCGACGAACGCAAACGCCGACGACCGGAGGCGCTGGTACTCCTCGGCCATGCTCGCAAGCACGACCGTGCCGTCGACCGGAATCTCTTGGAGAAAGCGACCGTACTTTTCAATGTTGGCGGCCGTGGCTCGGGTCCGGCCGGCGTCGCGCCCGCCGACGCTCGCCGCTGATGCCTTGGTGCACGTGCTGCCCATGCTGGTTTTTCCGAAATACGACACCCCGCGGTCGCGTGCCCACGGCGCCAGCTGCGCTGCGTACCGTACGACGACCGCAGTTGTTGAACCATAGACGGTTCGCCGGCTGGCACTCGAGGTCCGTGAATACAAGGAACGTACGGTGGCGTCTGCACTAGTGCAGAATTCAAGCGTGTAACGAGCGAGAAACTCACGTTGGCGTCGCAGCGACGACAGCGTGGAGACCGAGTGGTGTGGACGTCGGGGGACTTGAAATTTGGGGCACCCAACACCAGTTTTGCGGGCTATCACCCTGCCTCGGGTGCCTTTGAAAGAGTAGTACGGTGGCGTCGACGCGACCGATCGTCTTGGTCTCGACGGATTGCCAACATAAGCACACGCTGTGCATCGTGGCATTGTTTTCGTGGCGACACAGAGACACGGCGGTCTCTGCCACTGCTTCGAGTCGTTGAGCTCCGTTTACTTGTATGGCGGCTGCGGCTACCGTGTATGCATGAGGGATGATGGTCGGGTTCAACACCAAAATGGAAGGAGTTGCCACTCGACTTCATTTTGCCGCAGCTGCAGAGAGCGCGGGAAGTGGCGGAATATTTGGGCCGAAGCTTCGAGGAAGCCACCGCGGCGTCCCTTGCACTTCAAGTGTCCATGCTCGGGCTTGTCTTTGAGCGACCAAATTGCTGAAAAAGGAAGTATCAACTCGGTTTCAAGGCAAAATACATGAATATAGCGACTACGCGGTGTCGGCATCTACCCTTCCATTGCACTGGTCACCTAGTCTGTGGTACGCACGTGGGTGATGGTCAGCTGACGGGTACCGCGCTCGAGAACAGGATGCGATGTCGCTGTGGCCCGCGTCCCAAGACGTCATCTTGCCATGATATGCAACTTTGGGGTACTCGCAACTTCAACTTCAGGGAGCGCGCACGCCGACGCGCCACGTTTTTCGCAGTGTCTTGGTCGAGTCCGCCATCGAGAGTACCGTTGAAGAAAAATATCAAGTTATAATCGGATAAAATTGATAGTTAAAAAGCAAACACTTCCTTGTGGAAGGCAAACCCTAGCGAGTAGGCTTGGCGCTGGACGTCGGCCACGAGGCTCGGGGGGCCGCACGCGAGGACGCACACTTTTTCGCCGAGGAACCGCTCGAGGTTGAGGATTTCGTCGAGCACGGGGCGCCCGGGCACAAACGAAATATCTTCGCCCGAGAGACTGCGCGCGCTGCCCGCTGCGGTCGCCGTCGACACGTACAGCTTGCTCGTCGCGTGGTGCGGCAGCGGATGCATGAGGCTGTCGGCCATGAGCAGATCGCTCGGCGATCGCACGACCCAGTGCAGCACAAACTTGCCGTCGCGATGGCGCTTGTCGTCGCGGGATTGGTTGACAAGGCTTAGCATCGGCGTGACACCAACGCCGCCGCAGACCATGACGACGCGGTCGTACTTGGCAATGTCGACGCTGAGCTTGCCGTACGGTCCGCCGACGAGCACGGTGAGCGTGGGCGACGCTGCCGCAGCGTGGCACACCTTGTCACCAAACGACCCTTTCTTCGGCGCCTTGATGCAAAAGCCGATCGAATCTTGCTTGGGCGACACGATTGCTGAGAACGGATGCCACTCGGTGGCCGAGATGGACGGGACGCAGACGTAGAAGAAGGCGCACGGGTTCATCGAGGCCGCCCAGTGCTTGGTCTTTGTCGTCGACGGCAACAGAAGCGTGACCGTGTCGTGTGCGTTCGCGTCGACGGTAGCCTCGAACCGGTTGAAGAAGGCGCGGAGCCGGCCGAGAGCGCTGAGGCCGTAAATGACAAGCGGGAAGATCATGCCATAGACCACCGCCGTGCTGTGCAGCATGGCCAAGACGATGCCAGCAAGCGCTGCGACACGGTGGAAGTAGAGGAAGGCTTCGTACCAGCGCCGGCGGATCGGCTCGAACGCGATGAGCCCCATGGACGCGAACGCGAGGAAGGCGAGGAAGCCGTAGAGCGGCACGGCTTCCTGCGTCCCAACCGCGGTCGATGTCGTCACGTTGGTGTTGACGACGTTCAAAAGCAAGTGCACAAGCATGAGCACGACGCCGACGCGGCCAAGTGCCCGATGGAACTTGAGAATCCGCTCCGGGCCGATCCCGAACGCGAGCTCCCAGTGCTTGCCGCGCGCGACGGGCAAGAGCAACAGCATCAAGTGCGAGAGCGCCAAGTGCCCGGTGACGAGGCTTGCAGTGCGGTTGACGCTCGCCCCGACAAACTGATGCTTGATGGACGCGCCGATGATGGTGAGCATCGCGATGTACACGGTGACGACGAGCCACTCGCCGACCTTGACGTCCGCAAGTGGCCGGAGCACGGTATCTAGGACATGCGACGCACTGGGCGGCGCCAGCAAAGTCTTGTGGTTGATGATGCGCCACTCACCAGCGTGCGTCGCGATCAAGCCCATCGCGACCAGCGTCACGAACGCCGCGGCGACAATGATGACAGTGTACGTGGTGACGACTGTCGACGCCGCGGCAAACACTTGGGCCGGGCCCACTGCCGAGCTCAGGACGAGGCGGGCAGCGCCGCGCTCGGCATGGTAAGCTGGCCACGCCGACGTACCATAGGCCCACAGCACCGTTGTGGCGCCGCCGTCGGTCAACGCCACGTCGGCACTCGAGCTCGCCAAGGCGCGTGAGAAGGTAAATGACGCGACACCGTTGACACTCGAGGCGTGGGCCACGGTGATAGCCGACTGGTCCCCTTGGAGTGTGATGCCAGACGCACTGTAGTCGCCGAGCGCGTAGAGCTGAACCGAGGCCGAGGTCGATGTGAAGACAATTGCGTTGGTGATCGGGCTGTTGACCATCTTGGACGAGGCAGCAAAGCCGATCGAGACCCACTGCGCCGAGGCTTCGGTGCAGGTGACTTGGAAGCACGCCTCGGCGCCGACAACGAGGCTGCGCACGGCAATCGACGACGAAATTGCCACGGACGCCGTCGCGTTGAAGCTCGCAGAAGCGCACGCGTCGGCCGCGGCAAGGGACGCGATGCCAAGCAGACTCAAGACGCGGGCTGTCCACATGCGCATGAAATGGAAAGCTGAGGAATGACGAGAGAGCCGTGCATCCCGCCTGATTGACTCAGATCTGGTTGCGCCATCTGAGCTGCTGCGTTTTCACATTGGACCGGACGTCGGCGCTGTTCCGATGCTCTAGAGTTTTCATTTTCTTGTCAACTTTCGATGGTATGGTGGACACGAGTCGTACGCCTACAGTCTGGCGTCGTCACGAGGACACCTACGTTCGAGCACCCAACGTCGAGTCATCGCTTCGTACACAGCGTTGTCAGCACCGGCTGGAGCAAAATGTGTTGAATCTTGGATAACCCACAAATTTTGTCATAATTTCACTCATGCACCAGGAACCTCGCGGAACGAACTTCCGTGGGCGTGAGCGGTACGACAGCTGTTGCCGTCGGTATGCAGGCAACGCTGACACGCATCGAGATCACAGCTTCGAGATCACTGCAGCGAGCTGCACTCGAGGGTTTCTGTGTGCTCCAAGGCACACCTAGCACAGCCTGGCAAGTAGAAGAGTCCGTGCATGAGGTAGTCAAATCTGGCTTCGTTCTGCGCCGTTGTTCGCGTCTGGTTCTCTGGTTCGCGCACGACAGGCCGGACGACGCTCATCGTCAAACTGCACGACCAGCGTGGGCCTTCGTCAGCGTCTAAAGTCCGTCGCCATCGACGAGCCCACTAGAATCATGGGCGAGGAAAAGCGTAATTATTCCTTCGATTTCGCTGGTCGCATTCGGAGGTTTTCGCAAGATTTGCCGTGGGACAGTTGTGCCGTGGCACACATGTTGCTCCGTTACCTTCAACGTACCGGGATGACGTGCATTCGGCCAGGCAGTGTAAACGATCACGTCCGCGCCGGGCTGCCATCACTATAGTGAGCTCGCGGAGAACTCTCTGGTTCTTAATGGATCGGAGGAACATACTACTAGTGCCGTCGAGAAGCCGTCGCAAAACACTATTTGATGCCATGATGAAAGTGGCTCTAGTTGCGTCAGTGAGTGTTGCGCGCCAGAGTCCAATGGACGCTGCGCTTGCACACTGGGCAATCAGCTTTTGATGGCCCCCACGCCCGAGATAGGTAATAATAAAATGGGAGAGCATGGTTGCTACGACTAAAGTGGATCTTCAAAGATCTTCGTTCGACACGCTTACAGACGACCGACACGACCGTCTCGCACTACTGACGATGCATCTCGTTCATCGTTCAGCTGTGGAAGCACGGGCTCATTTTTCATGCAGCTACAAGTTCTGAGAGGAGCACTACGACTACATATGTACTTTGCAACCAACTGGGCCCGGGCACCACTCGGCGCGAGGTCTGCCGCCCGTTCTGCCGACTCGTCGCAATTCTGGCGTGAGCATACTTCGTGAAGCAATGACATAGCAGGTGTCCCTTTGCTGATCAATTTCCTGACGCTTGGCGTGCGTTTTCGCGGATTCAAAAAGTCCGAAAAGAGAAATTCAACGCAGAAGATCAGGGTTTTCAACCTTCTCTGTTCACGTTTCGAATTAGTCGATCTTGACTTCACGTGCCCCAAGAAGACGCTCGCGCCGTTTGGTGCTCACATCATGCCCGCGGTCGTGTCTTTTCGCCGAATCAGATAGGCTAAAAGCACGCACATCTGGGTAGACTTATGTGCCGGATAATAATCACACTATATTCGTACCAAAGTAAGATCTCACACAATTTGTTGTGCCTCCCTCGTTGGCTCGTCACCCTGGGATCTTGTCTGCGCGAGCTTCACCACTACACATAAGAGCACGATGTATCGCTGCGCTCTCCAGCGCATCTTTGGCTCCTCGCTTCTCACTCGGCGGTTTTGTACACCGAACACTATTCACAACATACACTATTAAGCGCCAGTGCTCAGCATCCGGATACGACGCGACCATC